TCTTGGGCTGTGTATTCCTGCGGCGTGGAGCCAGCCTCTGTGGAGCTCCTGAGTGGAGAAAGGGATCACTCCCTTTAAGGCTTGATGTTCTCATCTAGAAAGCAGGAAGGCCTCCTGGCTCGTCGTGGGGATACAGCAGGAAGAGGGTGGCCCTTTGGAGACCCAAGTGATGGTAGAGCCTCCCTATTCCTGTGACCGCTCTTGTCCAGGTCAGAAATTGGGACAGAGCCATGGCCAGTTGGAGGACTCCCTCTGGGGTCATCTGACCTAAGAGCATCAATTTCACGGGGCAGATCCAGGTGCTAATCTCTTTTCTTTGAGGCACTTAGGAAATTTGTTGTCTGAATTCGCGCTGACAGCAATCATGCTGCACCAGCGAGTCTCAGCCCTGGCTGTGTGTCGGCATCAGCTGCTGAACGTGAGGGGATGCCAGCCTGTAGGCCCAACCTTGGCCCGCTAAGTCGGAGGTCTACAGGGGTCCCAGGCATCTGCTTTTATTTATTTATTTTTTGTATCTGCTTTTTCTTTTCTTTTTTTGGGGGGAGGGAGGAGAGGTTTTTGCTACAGTGCGTGTGGGCTCGCCAGAAAGACAGAGAGAGATAGAAAGCGAGAAATCACCCCCCAGGGGGGATGGTCACGCCACAATCCCTTCTCCTCCATTCTCCTCTCGGGATCTTGGGCATGCACGCACATGCGCCCGGCGTGAGTTTAAGCCACTGGGTCCAGAACTTGAACCGCGGTTGACTACATGGGAGTCCAGCGACATAGCCATTACACTAACTGCTGGTTCCCTGCATCTGCTTTTTCAAAGCTCCCCGGTATGGTATACGTCTGGAATGAGAGCCATCACACTGCACCAAAACTGAATAAGAAACTGGATGGCTGTGCCAGCTGTCTTACCGGTAGGGGCTGGGAGGGTCGTCTGTCACCTTTAGAGGGATTTTAGAACGTTCATGGAAGATGGGGTTAAAGTGCCAGTTTATTTTGGTACAAAAGAAAAAAATTGAAATTCATGCTTCCTTTTTCTTTCTTATTTTTAGAGAGAGGGATTTTTGCTATAGGGTGTGTGCTTGCCGGAGAGACAGACAGAGACAGAGAGACAGAAAGTGAGAAATCACTCCCTCCCCGGGAGATGGCCATGCCACAATCCCTTCTCCTCCATTCTCCTCTCAGGATTTTGGGCATGTACACACACACACACACACACACACACACACACACACACGAGTTTTAAGCCACCAGGTCTGGGACTTGAACAGTGGTCAAGGATGTGGGAGTCCAGCCATGTAACCGTTATGCCATCTGCTGGCCCCACTGCTTCATTTCCTAACACTCATTTTCTATGAACTTTTAGAATACCCCCTTCCCCGTGTGTATTTTCATCCATTATGGAAACTAATTCTTAAAAATTCCTAGCGAATTTTGGGGCCAACTGGCAATATGATGGGTAAGGTGCTGGACTCTCACTTGGCTGACCACAGTTTGAGTCCTGGACTTGAGTCCTGGCTTAATTTCTCACTTTCTCTCTTTCTCTCTCTGGTGAGCAGATGTGCCCTATACCTAATTAAATAATAATAATAATAATAATGATAATAAATAATTCAAAAAAATCCTAGTGACTGTTTTTTTAGAGAGTATTTTTTTTTTTTTTTGCTATAGGGTGAGTGTGCTCACAGTAGACATAGAGACAGAAAGAGAGAAAGTGAGAAATCATCCCTCCAGGGGATGACCACACTCTAATCCCCCCTCCTCCACTTTCCTCTCGGGATTTTAGGCATGCATGCATACCCACCTGGTGTGAATTTCATACCACTGGGTCCAGGACTCGAACATGCTTGGCCACGTGGGAGACCAGCCCACAACCACTGTGCCACTGCTGGCCCCCAGCGACTTTGATTTTAAAGCCAGTACTGAAGGCTGAGTGTCGTTTCTTTCTTGTATCTCAACATTTAATGCAGAGCCTGTATGCACCTCCACTGCTCAATGCTAGCGAATTCGGAGGGACCTGGCTCAGCTCTGTTGGAGCTGATGTTTTATGAGTGTCCTGTCCCAAAAGCTTTGAGAAGAGGAGAAAATCTCACCTGGGGTTCAGTCTGAGAACTGCAGTCGCTTCAGCTAGCAATCCGGTGTAAAATGCAGGCTGACCACAAGGTCAGCGGGCCTCTGCATCAACCCCAGGCACTGTCCAGGGGTCTCTCCTGGGCCCGGAAGTCGGCCATGCTGTACGCCACCTTCATGCCAGCAGGAACTGTCGTCGGCGTCTTCGTTACTGTGCACGGCTGACTCCGCAAGGCCACTGTGCGTTTCTGAAGGAATGAAAGGCACACCTCCAGGTTTTACGTCTCTTTTCCTAGAATGAATGTTCTAGAATGCTGCTCTATGCCCGTGGGCACTGGGAAACATTGCTGACTGAACAGCTGGCTCTTATGTTTTCTGTGGTGGATGCAAAGCCCTTAGCAGCCTCTTCTAGGAGTCGCCACAGCAGCGCTGGCTGTGGAGGGGGGAGGTTAAGGTGCACGCACGACAAGGCACGGGCATAGTTCATGTGTTCTGCCACCCAAAGCTGCCTGGTCCCCTGGCAGGCCCTGGGGAGGAAGGGCAGACATAATTCCTGGCCCTGCATGTTTCATGAGAAGATCGTCCATTAGTTACAAACAAGTTCAAAACCTGCTTCGGAGGGACCAGTGGGTGGCCCTGTGGTGAGGCCACACTGCAGTGCTGGACCCATGTGAGAAGCTTCTGGGTTTGTGTTGTCAGTCTCCCATGATCCTGACTGGCTGAGCTGGGGGCGGAGTGTGGCATGGAGACTCTCTTAGGGTGATTGTCTCTCTCATGGAAGAAATACTTAGACTGAGAACAGCAACAACAACCACGCTCTGGGGTGTTTGGTGCGACAACCACACTCTGCCCGGTGTTTGGTGCGACTGCAGTGACCTGGGCCTCTGGGTTAGCGCCTCAGTGAGCTCCTGAGCAGTGACACCACATGGCTCCTCCTCTTCCGTTCTGCTGTGTGGCCGTCCCGGGTCAGCCTTTTTATACAACCTTGTACCCCAGAGGATAGCGCCTGGCCTGGTGAGCTCTAGGAGAAGGTGGGTTGATTGATGAATGAATAGATGAGCATTTTAAAAAGAATTATTTTTATTTAACCTCATTATTATTACTACCATTTAATTTGGGAGCCAGAGAGAGAGAGGAAGTGAGAAAGCAAGTCACCAGTTTTGGGACTTGAACTGCAGTCGGCCATGTGGGAGTCCAGCGCCTTAACCAGCACGCCACCTTCTGGCCCCAGATTTGCATTTTTTGCTTGGCTTCTTGGAGTAAGGCTTCTGCCTCGAAGGCCGTGGCTCCCCTTGGAGCAGTGCTGAGTGGGCAGGCGATCCCCGAAGGAAGCAGTGTGGGACGCACAGCTGACGCCCAGGAGGTGGGCCATCGGCAAGGAGCCCAGCTTCTGTAAGCCACTGGGGACAAGGGGCACAAGGGGGCTTCAGAGAGCTTGCAGGGAAATAGAATTCAAGTATGAGTTTATTCTGATGTGAAAGTTTTTTTTTTTTTAATCCATGCATACTTTCTTCGTGATCTGCATTTTCCAGGAACTTTCTGGAGACCGTCATGGACGATGTAGAGAAGCCCTCATGGAGATGTGTTGTAGTTTTTGGCTCAGGTTTTGGCTTTCTAGAAATGATTTTGTTCCTCTCGTGTCACGTGTTGGTTGCCTTTAAATTCACATCGCAGTAGGCAGTTTCAGATACCCTGTGCTTAGACAGTACCTCCCGGAATGACACGCTGTGAAAGTGTACCGCCTACGCAAAATCGCCATTGATAATTCACTGTTTGCTTTTGTTTTGGGAGCGGTTTTTGCTACAGAGTGCGTGTGCTCGCCAGACAGACAGAGAGAGACAGAGAGACAGAAAGCGAGAAATCACCCCCCAGGGGAGATGGCCACGCCGCAATCCCTTCTCCTCCATTCTCCTCTCGGGATCTTGGGCACGCATGCACACACACCTGGCATGAGCTTAAGTCACCGGGTCCGGGATTTGAACTGCAGTCTGTTATGTGGGAGTCCAGCGACATAGCCATTATGCTAACTGCTGGCCCCACTGTTTGCTTTTTCAAAAGAAATTATTTCATTTTATTTATTATATTGTTTTGTAAAAGATGATTTATTATTACTACTATTATTATTAATTTGCTACGGAGTACACACACTCGCCAGAGGGAGACAGAGAGAGAGAAAGTCAGGAAGTGAGCCACCAGGTCTGGGACTCGAACCGTGGCCAGCCACGTGGGAGTCCAGCACCTTAACCATTATGCCACCTGTTGGTCCCTCAATATATGCTTTTAAAAGAGTTAGTAGAGGGGCCAGCAAGTGGCATGGTGCTTGAAAGCTTCAGATTCTCACATGTCTAGCCATGGTTCGAGTCCCAGAACCAGTGGCTTGAAAATCATAGTAAGTAAATAAATAAATGGAAGAAAAACAAAACAAAACTAGTAGAATGAACCTCATCCGGGTGCAGCACAATGTAATGCTAAGTATTGGAATGTTGGAAAAGTTATGACACCTTTTTGAAAGAATTACTTTAGTTAACCTTTTTTATTATTCTTATTTTCCAGTTTAATGAGAGAGAGAGACAGAGAAAGAGAGAGAGAGAAAGTGAGAAAGCAAGCCACCAGGGCTGGGACTGGAACCCTGGTTGGCCATGTAGGAGCATCCAGCGCCTTCACCACCACACCACCTGCCGGTCCCTTGTGACACCTGTTTTCTGTGCAGAATATGTTCAGATTTTTGATTTGATTATTGCACATCGTACCCGTGCTTTAAGCATACTGCACTCCACACGATGTGCCATGGCTATCTGTGAGTCAGAAATGACAACTACGAAGAGAGAGCGAGGAGGAAAGAAAGAGAAGCACAGCCTGTTCGTTCTCGAGGCCGCTGTCCTCACCGCGCCAGGCCGCAGGGCCTTGCCCCGGCTCTGGGCTGCATCTCTTCTCTCTTGCAGCTAAATGTCGTCAGCAGCGTCAGCAGCTCAGAGGACGTCAAGCCCTTACCAGGGCTCCCCGGGATTGGAAGCATGAACTACCCCTCCACCAGCCCCGGGTCACTGGTCAAGCACGTCTGTGCCATCTGTGGGGACCGGTCCTCAGGTACGTGCGGGGCGCCGCCTCCCCAACTCCCTCCAGGGAGAAGGTCGCCCTGTCAGGTGGGCCAGCTGGGCCCGCAGCCTGCCGTCTTATGAAGGTAGAATTCGATTTTACTTTGGAGGATTGCCTTTGCAGGAAACGTTCAGAGCCCTCCTCTGGAACGACACTACTTCATGCATGTATGTTTCGGGTGGAGAAGCTGTTGTGATTGTCGAGAATCTCAAACTAGATTTTCCTTAATTGTTCAAAAATTATTGCGTGTAATTATAAAACTTCCCAAATAAATAACTATAAAAATAATGTTCCAATATAGAAGATATGGGAAAACTGGAAAAAAAAAGAGCACAGTAAAAATTAATCTAAATGTCAAGAAAGATAAACTCTTTCCTGTTTTAGCCTATTTCTTTCAAACACTCCTGATGTTTAGCTTTTTTTTTTTTTTTAAGGTTTTTGCCATAGAGTGTGTGTGCTTAGCAGAGAGGAGAGACAGTGAGATGGAAATAAGAAATCACCCCCTGGGGGGGATGGCCACAGGGCAACCCCTTCTCCTCCATTCTCCTCCTGGGATTTTGGGCATGCGTGCACATGTGCCCGGTGTGATTTTCAAGTCACCAGGTCTGGGATTCGAACTGCAGTCAGCCTTGTGAGAATCCAGTGCCTTAACCATTACACTATTTTCTGGCCCCTTAACATGTTTTTACAAGCAGAAACAAAAGCGTTTTCGCTGATTTATCTTCTACTGGCTCGTCGGGAAAGTCTGACACATTTTTGCACAGAAAAATACATCCTGACTTTCCCGAGCACCTAACAGGCTGCCAGAACTCTCTCTTTCCGGACTTCTTCCTTTCCTCTCCATCTTTCTTGCCCTCATTCCCTCCCCATCAGTTTTGAACACATTAGAATCTCTGGTTCGATGATTTGAACAATAAGGAGGTGGGGGAGTGTCTGTTCTAAAGCTGTCCAGGACGGCTGACCGACTGTTTCCTGTCTCCTGATTGGCACCCAGCCACCACAGATCGCCACGCTATTGAAAGTGCTGGGTGCCTGGAACACACTTAGCTACATGGGTGAGGTTGGCCTGCTCTCCAAGTCCTTCCCGATTCATGCAGACGTGGCTGTGGCCGTGTCCGAATCTGACCGCACCCAGCAGGGGTTGGCGTTTTCTCTGCTGTGGTTTGGTTGAAAGTCCAGGAGGCCCATGCACATACGGAAAAGCCCCAGCAATGACTGTGTCGTGCAGGTGACACCTGGCCTCGTGTTTCTGACGAGCTGAGGGCGTTAGGTTCCTTGAGCTCGACATAAGCTCTCGCGCTGATCATGGCTGTGAGCTCACTGATTGGTGTAGTCAATGCATTAGGCACAGAATGGCTTCTGATCGCGAGGTACCATTTCATCCTAGGGTGGCTTTTTCTGGAACGTAAACTCCCGGGATGTCTGTACATTCACTAGTTCTCATGGACTTCAAATTCATTTTAATATCGACCTAAACAACACAGAATTAGAGCGTCACATCGGGTCTGTAGCTAAATGCCATTGCATAATACACTCAGGAATTAGACATGATGGGGCCAGCTGCTGGCGTAGTGCTTATGACTCCCACATGGCCTACCGTGGTTCAAGTCCTGGACCCAGTGGCCTAAAACTTACACCAGGTGTGTGCACATGCATGTCCAAAATTCTGACAGGAGAATATAAGAGAAGGGATTGTGATGTGGCCACCCACCCTGGGGGTGATTTCTCGTTTTTTCCTTCTTTGTCTCTCCAGTGAGCATATGTGCCCTATAGCAAAAATCTCTCTCTTTAAAATAAAAAAAAATACATAAAAAGAACTGGATATACTTATGCTTTGAATGAATGATCTATTTCCATACACACACACACACACACACACACACATATATATATATAGAGAGGGTTCTTTTTGTTTTTGTTTGTTTGTTTGCTTATGTGCTTGCCAGAGAGACAGAGAGAGACAGAAAGTGAGAAATCACCCCCCAGGAGGGATGACCACACCACAGTCCCTTCTCCTCCATTCTCCTCTCGGGATTTTGGGCACTTACACACGCGCCCGGTGTGATTTTTAAACTGCCGGGCCCAGGACTCGAGCTATGGAGTCCAGCGGCGTAAGCGTCATGCCGTCTGCCGCTCCCTCAGTTTGAATCAGTGAGCACAGCTGCCAGGTGTACAGTAATGAGAAGGCTTACTTAGAGTAGTGTGGTTGATTCAGGGTGCCTGGGTGGGAGGGAACTCGTGGCCCCCTGTTGCAAATTAGACCTCTCTGCCTGGAGTAATTGACACGGAATGTCTGGGGCAGGTCACGGGACGGTGACACAAGCCGCAGGTTATTTTGGTTCAAGCCGGACCACCTGCTATCAGACCTTCCCGCCCTCCCTGAAGACGGGGCCTCATTTTATAACGACCAGAAACTCATTTACTTCCTCACAGGCAACAGCACTGCAAAAACGCCACAAGCCAGCATCCTGTTTATAGTTTATGGTAGAGGATCAGACCCTAGGGCTCAGTTATGGGGACATGTTAGTGAAGCTGAGGGTAGTGTCCTCCCGGGTCACATGACAAGCATGCATGCTTTTCCTTATTACGAACACCAGTGTTTTGAATGGAGGCAGAACGTTCGCTTGAAATGAGTGCAAACGAAGCCTCAGGTCAGGAGTTTCCTGATATTGCCATGGGGAGTGAGCGGTGTGGAGGGACGACACGAGAGCGGGCTAAGGAATGTTCTTCTCTTGCAACCAGGGAAGCACTACGGGGTGTACAGCTGCGAGGGCTGCAAAGGGTTCTTCAAGAGGACCATCCGGAAAGACCTCGTCTACACGTGCCGGGACAGCAAGGACTGTCTCATCGACAAGCGCCAGCGAAACCGCTGCCAGTACTGTCGCTACCAGAAGTGCCTGGTCATGGGCATGAAGCGGGAAGGTGAGGCTCGCGGCGACGCCCCGCCTCGGCCCTCCGCTCAAGGGGAGCAGTGTGCGTCGAAGTACTCGTGGGAGAGGGCAGGAGGTGGGGCGGAGGGTAAGGTGCCAGCTCCCACGTGGCTGACTGCGCGGTTCAAATCCTGGACGTGGAGGCTTGAAAATCACACCAGGTACGTGTGCGTGTGTGCCCCAAATCCCAAGAGGAGAATGGAGGAGAAGGGATTGTGGCATGGCCATCCCCCTGATCCCGGGAAGT